ATGGTGACTGAGGAGAGCCTCTACGTTCAGAGGCACTAAGCCCCTGAATCCCAGAGTCAGGAGGTAACATCAGGGGAAGGCCTCGGCCTCTCTGCCCTGTTGTTGGCCCTCCAGAGAAACTGGCTGGCCACTGTGTGAGACGGGATGCTGGCCTAGATGGGCCCTCCCTGGTCTGATCCAGCAGGGCTCTTCTGGTGTCCTTCTCAGGGGAAGGCCTCGGCCTCTCTGCCCTGTTGTTGGCCCTCCAGAGAAACTGGCTGGCCACTGTGTGAGACGGGATGCTGGCCTAGATGGGCCCTCCCTGGTCTGATCCAGCAGGGCTCTTCTGGTGTCCTTCTCAGGGGAAGGCCTCGGCCTCTCTGCCCTGTTGTTGGCCCTCCAGAGAAACTGGCTGGCCACTGTGTGAGACGGGATGCTGGCCTAGATGGGCCCTCCCTGGTCTGATCCAGCAGGGCTCTTCTGGTGTCCTTCTCAGGGGAAGGCCTCGGCCTCTCTGCCCTGTTGTTGGCCCTCCAGAGAAACTGGCTGGCCACTGTGTGAGACGGGATGCTGGCCTAGATGGGCCCTCCCTGGTCTGATCCAGCAGGGCTCTTCTGGTGTCCTTCTCAGGGGAAGGCCTCGGCCTCTCTGCCCTGTTGTTGGCCCTCCAGAGAAACTGGCTGGCCACTGTGTGAGACGGGATGCTGGCCTAGATGGGCCCTCCCTGGTCTGATCCAGCAGGGCTCTTCTGAGGTTCTTATAATCTGGTGCTCCCAATCGCAGCGCCTCTGCTTTCTCCTTGCTGCGGGGCGGTTCACAAGCTGCAAGGCGAGAGGTCCTGCTGTGGGCGCATAGAGCGTGGCCCAGCACCAGATTAGCTCTTTTGCCAGGAGCGTGGTGCCCTTGCCTACTGGCGCCGAGGGGGTGCAGCCCGCAGTTGTGGGCACGGAGCCCCCGCCAGACCCTCACTCGGCGTTTCCCTCCGTCTCCTCCGGCAGAGGAAGAGGACAGCTACTTGGACGTGGAGGTGCAGCTGAAGCGGCAGAGGGCAGGGCCGGGCAACGGCAGCGACAGCTTCCTGGAGTGGTGGGTGATCCGGCTGGCCGACTGCCGGCAAGAGGAGTGCAGGATCCTGCCCATGGTCATCTTCAGCGACAAGGTCAGCCCTCCCAGCCTGGGCTTCCTGGCAGGATACGGGTGAGTTGCCTGAGCCCTCCGGGGACGGCAGGGTGTGGCCAGACCTTCAGGGCAGTTGGCACCGACATGGGCAACGCTTCAGAAACCAGTCCAGCGTTCCCTCTAAGCTGAGTTGGTGTGAGCCAGCCCACCGTTTTTTAGCCTCCGGCTCACACGTTTTTGTCTCAGCTCAGGAAGGAGGGGCTCCAGAGCAAACTAATTCATGCAGCAGCCAAATCGCTTGCTCACAACTTTAAGGCCAGTAGCTCACAAAGTGGAATCTTTGCTCACGAGACTCCACAGCTTAGAGGGAGCGATGGAAACCACTCCTTTAAATATGTTGTCGAAGGCCTTTAAACGTTCGACTCTAATGGCTGGGCTGTTGCTTGAGTCTCCTGGAATCTGATTTGCCACTGCTCTGGCATATCCCGTTTATTTATTTGTTTAATTCCTTTATATCCTGCCTGCCTGCCCCCCCCGCGCCCCCCAGTGGGGACCTAAAGAAATTTGCACCATTCTCCTTTCCTTCATTTTAGGGAGCCAGTTTGGTGTCGTGGTTAAGTGCGCGGACTCTGATCTGGGAGAACCGGGTTTGATTCCCCACTCCTCCACTTGCAGCTGCTGGATGGCCTTGGGCAAGCCGTAGTTCTGATAAGAGCTGTTCTTGAAAAAGAGCAGTTTGTGTCAGAGCTCTCTGCCCCACCTACCTCACAGGTTGTCTGTTGTGGGGAGGGGAAGGGAAAGGAGTTTGTAAGCCGCTCTGAGACACCTTCGGGTAGTGAAGGGCAGGGGATAAATCGGGGGTAAAACCCCATCTCTTTTTTTTTTTTTTTTTTCCCCCCCCCCCCCCAAGTGGGGACCTAAAGAAATTTGCACCATTCTCCTTTTCTTCATTTTATCCCCACAACAATCCTGTGAGGTGGGGATAAGCTGAAAATGTGTGACTATGGCAAAATGTTCCTGCTCTGGCCTGCCAGCCCGATTCTGCTTTGCCCTTCTAAGGGTTCCCAACTCCCTGGAAGTGCTTTTCTTCAACTCTCAGGTAGCCTGCCACCACCACATTGCTGTTGGGATTTCCCCCTGGGAGGATCAAGACTCCCAGCTTCCCTTTCCAAGTCCAGAGGCCTTGCCTCAGTATCTCCCACTGCCCAGCGCCTGGTCACCGTGGGGACAGATTACCCCGGGGGAATAGCCACTTGCCAACTGCCCATCTTCCCTCCTCCTGGCGTCCTTTTTAAAATAGCGTGTCCAAGATGGTGGAGGTCTGTGTGGTACAGAGAACCACTCCCAGCATCCAAAGTTATAATGGATTTATTAAAAAGAAAATGTTTATAAACATACTTTTATCGCAGCACCAGATTGAGCAAGAAAATCAAAAGAAACGGGTAAAAACACAAATCCTCTGCCCCTCTCACTATACCATGCCCTACCAGAAGGTAAAATAGGACAGGCTCCTTATGCTTAGGAAGTCACAAATCCCTACAGAGTTGCCATTACCTTGAAGATTCCTCCTTCTGTAGGCAAGTACATGGTCAATAGTTCCGTCTCAGAAGAGAGGTCTGTGTGCCTGCTCTAACGTCCACAGCATCCCGGGAAAAGAGCCCGCCTTCCTCTTGCAGAGATTTTATCATCTCTGGTATTCCACCCCCTTGATCCCGGTCAGCCCAGGTCAGGGAAGCTTTTCCTGTCATCTCCAAAAAGTTCCTTTCTCAAGACTGTCTAGAATTTGACACCCCCCAACTCTCTGTTCCCTGCCTGAAGAGATGGGGGGAGAGAAGGCGGAAGCTTGACCATACATTTTGTCTAGATCCATTGGCATTTATATGAAGGTGGGCTGAGGTACAAGGAAATGGACTTCCACTTCTACCTAGAGAAAAAAGTTAAAAGTGCAAAGTGGAGGCTCTGCCCCTTGCCAGCCTCCCAGGAGAAAAAAGTGCATTTCTTCACAGTGACTGTTGCTAGATTCTTCTTTCCAGTACTGTGGTCAGTGTTCCCTCTAAGCTGAGTTAGTGTGAGCTAGCTCATCGTTTTTTAACTTCCAGCTCACACTTTTTTGTCTGAGCTCAGGAAGGATGGGCTCCAGAGCAAACTAATTAATGCAGTAGACAAATCGCTCACTCACAACTTTCATGCCAGTCACTCACAAAGTAGAATTTTTGCTCACAAGACTCCACAGCTTAGAGGGAACATTGACTGTGGTGTATTTTGTTTAATGCATTTTATCGCTTTTTTGGGTCTGTGTTACTTGCACTGAAAGTCAAACTGGATGGATCATGAGCTAAGCATTATTTTAAATAAGTGTATGTTGATCTTTGGGTTCAGGAACTGAGGGCTGGCTGTCCCCACTTGAGCTTTCCAGAAAAGGGCCTTCCTGATTTTGGGGGGCGGGGGGGGCTACATCCCCCCTTCACTGTCGAAGAGACCCAAAGTCCTTGGGCTCCGATCTGGCCGCTCCAGCAACTGATTTCAGGGCTGGAGCTTGGTGCCCCGAGAGCTCAGCTTACCCTCTTGGGCTGAGAACGGAGTGAAGTGGGCGGGGGGGGGTACCAGTGTCCGCTACGCATGTTGGAGGTGGGGGGGGTTGTCTCTGCCCCGAGCTCTGCCCTCATGTTCCGCTTCTCCCTGTTCCCGGCAGGATCATGGGCCTGTACGTCTCCATCGTGCTGGTGATCGGCAAGTTTGTGCGCGGCTTCTTCAGCGAGATCTCCCACTCCATCATGTTCGAGGAGCTGCCGTGCGTGGACCGCATCCTCAAGCTGTGCCACGACATCTTCCTGGTGCGCGAGACGGGGGAGCTCGAGCTGGAGGAGGAGCTCTTCGCCAAACTCATCTTCTTGTACCGCTCGCCCGAGACCATGATCAAGTGGACGCGGGAGAAGGAGTGAGACACGCCCCGTGGTCTCCCCCGATTGGCAAGATGCGGCATTCGGGAGCCGTGTTCCGTTTCTGCACAGGGAATCTGAATAAGGACGGGGAGGAAAAGCACTCCCAAGA